CCCAGTCAATAACCTGGCCACTTCATATGCTACTGGCAAAAATTGGTGCTCTGTGTATATTTCCTAAGTAGAAAGGTCTTCACTGACCCGTCTCACCTAGCAATAGCAGACAGTGAATGTTTTTAGCTTCTCTTCTTCTTCTCCCCATGCCAAAAAGAAGGTATATGTTGAATAAGAGCAAATTCTGACTTGACAACTATTAAGTAATAGGATACACACGTGAAAAGCATTTATATCACCTGTTTGGAAATAACTTTGGCTCTTACATGCTGTGGACTCATTGAAACGTGAAATAAGGCTTCTAAATATCCAGGCCAGTTCTGCAGAAGGTGTTCAAAATGGATCTTCTGCACCAAACTCACATACACCCTTTTAAATGTATTATCATATGCAAAACTCTATCCATTATTAAATAATTCACTCATTATTGAAACATCCCCCATTCTTTCCCAAAAACATGCTCTACTGAAGATATTCACACCACACAAATGGTGATATTTAGATTTATTTTTCACTGTATCATTATGAGTTATGTCATTTTCAGCTTAATCTTTGAGTAATCAGCCATATTTTCATTTACAAACGTTGACCAATTAAATTGTTGACAATACTTCTAAGGAAAATGCTTATAAGGAAAATCCATTTTCTCCCCTCTTTGCTAAGTGGTCTGCATGTGTTTGTGTATAAAACGGAAGTAAAACTTTTCCTATTTGTTTACTTCAGAACCAGAAGATGCATCAAAATATTCTTCAGACTTTTTTAAAGCTTGACTTCGAAGACCGGTGTCTACTTTCCTACCTCCATTCCTAAACTGGCTTCCAAATGGTGATATTTAGATTTATTTTTCACTGTATCATTATGAGTTATGTCATTTTCAGCTTAATCTTTGAGTAATCAGCCATATTTTCATTTACAAACGTTGACCAATTAAATTGTTGACAATACTTCTAAGGAAAATGCTTATAAGGAAAATCCATTTTCTCCCCTCTTTGCTAAGTGGTCTGCATGTGTTTGTGTATAAAACGGAAGTAAAACTTTTCCTATTTGTTTACTTCAGAACCAGAAGATGCATCAAAATATTCTTCAGACTTTTTTAAAGCTTGACTTCGAAGACCGGTGTCTACTTTCCTACCTCCATTCCTAAACTGGCTTATCACCTGGCAAGCGATTTGTCTGTGACTGTTCCAAAGCAGAATGGAGAAAAGCTGAAAACAATGTTGTTGCCCGAGCCAGCATGAGTCCTGGGAGGCAACACGTTCTGTTTGATGTATCCAAGGAAAGGTCAGCCTGCTGCACCAGTCACAACCAAACAGGAAATCTCCAGTGGCAGGTCAGGGGTTGTCTGTGGGCAGGACAGGTTGCTCCTGCAAATCCGGTTGTGCCAGTTCCCTGTAATACTCATCTCCATGACCAAGGCTGGCAGTTATTAGATTGCTGTATCATAAATTTCAGGTCTGCTGTAGTTGTTCCTCTCAAAAACATAGGTATACATTCTTAAACTAGCTTTGCAAGCCAAAGGTGAGAGTATTAACAAAGAGTTGGGAAGCTTGTGGTAAGTGGAGAAGGGAGAAAGAAGATCAGGAAAAGAAACAGAGGTAGTGGAAAGCGTATGTAGTATCACAGGAGGTAATGGACAGACTTTTCCATCTACCTTTTCTTAATGGCTTGTGAGCAAATAAATTGCTCCCCTACACATACTTAGGAGGAAAAATTTCTTCACCGAAAGGGTTATCAAGCATTGGAACAGGCTACCCAGGGAAGTGGCTGAGTCACTGTCTCTGGAGGGATTTAAGAGATGTGTAGATATGGCACTTAGGGACATGGTTTAGTGGTGGGCTTGGCATCACGGTTGGACTTTATGATCTTAAAAGTCTTTTCCAACCTAAATGATTCCATGATTCTACAAAAACTTCCCAAAAGGTCTTTCTTTGGGGAGAATTTAGTATTCCTATATATGAAGTTATACCTATGCTTTGGATCCAAGTTCCACTTTTTCATATTTTTAAAAAGAAATTTTGTCTCTGACTTTCAGGTGGAACAAACACTCATAGCCCCTCAAACCCACTTAAAATATTGGAGGACCTGTTAGGATTTTATTCATTTTAATGTGTTCACCAGCTGTAATTTTAAAAGTTTTTGTCAACTTTTGTAATTCTCACGGTTTTATACAAAATCCTGAGGGTTGCTCTTGAGCGGGTGATGATTGTACAGATGCACACATGCATGCAAGTTCTCTCTGTGGATTCAGGACCAGAAAATATTCCCTTCCAGTGCTGATAAAGATGCACTTCAAGGTGATTCTGACCCTTTCTTTAAGAGCTCCTTGGGTCTGAAAAGCAAACCCTGTTCAATAAAACAAAAAAATAATGAGTTCTATCCTCTACAATTGCAGTTATTCCTATGCTGTATAAGAACTGAAATTCTGAAGAATTATGAATAGATGTTGCTTTAGCATATACTCCAATAATACTTTGCAGTTTTATTCCTTCCTCCTCGAGCGCTTGCCTTCCGTCTGCCAGTGATGCTCTTCTAAACCTCCCAGGTATTCGTTTTCCTCCTAGCAGTCCTCGACACTCTGGAGCTGCCCCTTTCATTCTTCTAATTAACGCAACACTTCGATTCCACTGTTAAGACATTTTGCAAATGGGTTGTATGATTGGTAGCATGTGTCAAAGCTCATTGACAGACTAAAAATTTACCTCATTCAGTGAAACGTTGCAATTTTCTCTTCAATTTTATCGTTTAACCTTATGATAATCACTTGCCCATGAAGTGAATGACGTTACATCTTCCACGATGAACTAGTCTCAGTGTACGAATTGGGCCTTCTAAGTCCTATAAAATGTTAAAAGTTGCCATGACAAATTAAAAACCATCCTTTGACACAAATATCAAGTCAGGTTTATTATTCTGGAGGTTAGTATCTCTCCTTTCAATGCTAGGTTTTGCTACATTGTACTTAAAGTTTAGCATGCCTTTTAGACTGTTGCTATTTGCTAACCCTCTGATGAAGCTGTCACAGTATTGTTTTAGTTATTACAGTGAAGGTATTAATTTTGTATTTTATATTTTTTATATATAGATTTCTTAAGTGTCATTTTTTCTGTACAACTCCATCTCTACTGTAACAGAGAAAATGCATGTTCTAAGGTTCTGCTCTTTTCTATAGAGAACAAAATACTGGGGAGGTTAAACAGACATGGAAGACAAGCTCTTCCATTAGATGCCTTACTGGTAAACTGGAAATAAATTTGTAAAAGCAAATTTAGGAAAAAAAAAGATTTCTGGAATTGTGGAGTCAAAAGTTTGATCACTCCTATTTTTGTTACTTTAAAATGAGTGCATGAACACTATGTACTTTTAAACAAAAAGTGCTCTGTACGAAGACCATATGCAGCTTTGCTTCTGGTTAATTTTTTTTCACTTACTTTTTTAAAGATTACTTATCACAGAAATCCTAACAAAATTCAAACTACACTGAAGAAAATTTCGTTAAGTACTACAGCATCAGTCTGTTAGTATCCTTCACGTATTTCCAAAGACACTTTTGTACTCTAATTTTCATAATTAGAAATGAGAGTGGACCACCATTAGAAGGTCACTTTTCAAGAGAAGACTTCAAAACTACATCTAACTTTTGTGAACCATTCATTGACCTAGGCTAAAATAAATTGTCAAGACTAGATAGAAATAGCAATAATAACATCTGACCTGTGCAAGCTGGTTTTCTTTTGATATGCAATTGGCAGTATTCAAAAAAATTGCAAATCAAAAGGCTACATATTTGTGAGAACTAGTCTCCATAAATTTAAAATTTTATCAAGTTTAAAACTTCCTTCTAAATGGGAACAGAAACTTGTAAGTGAAACTTGTAAATCAGTTTTATCACTGTCTATGTGTGCATATGTATGATGTATAAATATGCTTGAAATTTCAAATTGAACTTGTAAGTAGGTCTGATAAGTTTTTCTACTTCAAATTTCATCTCTTTCTAGGAGGTGGGAGGGGAGTCATGGGAGTGGTATGGCTGGTATTGTGCATGAATATGCATTTCATATGTTGTGCATGCAGTACTGCACATTTTTCTTACTGCAGTGGAACTGACATTTCTTACAACAGCAAACAACTCTTTAGAAAATGATCCAATTGCTTAACTCTACAATTTTAATATAATACGACCAGATTCTGACTCACAGAAAGAATGAATCAGCTGCAAATTTCCAGTTCCACACTAAGCTACGATGGTATAAAGCTGAAGAAGTAGGGACTGGAGGCTTACTTTGTATTTGTTGTATTTCTAATATGACCTAGTATACCTCAGTTAAAAAATAGTATCTTCCTCTTACTATGGAAGAGACAGCACTTACTGAGACCTCTACCATTCAGAGCACCTGTAGCACTGATTTAAAGTAATAGTTTGCTGTGATGATAAAATGATTTATTGTCTGTATATTCTGTAAACTACATTCATTCTGAAAAAAATACTAAAATTTCTTCAGATCTATTTTTTTATAAGGAATAATGTCATCATCTAAGCTACAGACAACTAAACATAGAATAACTGGTGACTTTCGGCATCAAATGAATCAAGGAATAGCATTCTTCTTTGCATGTTTTGTCAGCTATAAAGCATCCAAAACACAGCTGAAAATAAAGGATACATTTCTAGTCTTTATATGATTTGTATATTGTGAAATATTAAAATGTGAACAAAAAAGGAAAGATACTGTCAGAGGTCAAATAACACGTAATGCTTTTTCATTTTCTCTAGCTGCTTGGTAAGCTACCAGAAAAGTATTCCCTTTTGCTTGGCAGTAACCTTCAGCGATCTTAATAACGCAGTTTTACACACTTCGCGCATTCTTTTCCTCACGTTTTTACACTTGTTTATGAAGCTATCTGGAAATGTATCCATATTATCGTACAGGCTTATGTGAAATTGTACCACACCTAAAATAAGCCAATTGATTAGTAATGATGGGCTCTTTTCAGCTGCACACTCATTTTCAAATGAATTTATTGAAGTAAAGGATTTACAGCATATGGACTTACAGACTTCTTATGAGTTAAACTGGCATCCATATGTACAGCTTTCAGTAGAGAACTCTAGAGTAATATTTACAATGTAAATATCAACTTTTATTACATAAGAAACAAATATATCACAACTTTCACTTCACAACATATTTGTTCTGGTTTGATGACTAAAGTCATCTCTTTGAAATACTATGTGGAACTCAAAAATAACTTGCTCTTGTCATAGACTTTACCAGGTGTCCTTCAGAGGTCCTGAAAAGCAAAAAAGAAATACATTTTAAAAGCCATTTTCATAAGCAGTTGCATCATGAGGCGTATAAAAACAAACAGCAGATAAGAAATCACACTGCTTACAAAACAATTGCTGCACTTGGGGCTGACAAGCATGAGATGGAGCTATTGGCCGGAGCTTGGTAGACATTACAGCCAGCAGAAAAGGCTCAGGATGAGGAAGAAAGGTTGAAGGATTAGGCAAAACTGTTACTGCAGTTGGCCCACAGCGCAGAACAGCTCACTTCGAAAACAACAGTATCCTTGAAAGGGATACATGAATTCAGGTTGCTCAATACACACTCCATCAGCACTGCGATAAGGTGACCAGTAACCGTCAATATTGAGAAGGCGATTCACCTACAGGGAGATCTGGATCATCTGTACAGTCCATAAAAAAGGAAAGGACTGAAAATATTTCCAGGAAGACACTCGTGACCTGCGGCGCCACTACTCGCTCTCACTTAGTCAATGCCAGAAGTTTCAGAAGGTGCAAAATTCAGCAGTAGATATTTTTGAAATTATCTTCTCTAGAAAGAATATTTCTTTCCCAACTTGCACCACTTAGAAATTGTTTTGTTCCTTGAGGCATAAGCAGTTTATGCTCTTTCTAATCTTTGGGAACTTCAGAGGAACTGCCACATTTGTGGAAAGGAAAAGTACATTTTCTTTCAGTCTTGGAAGAAAACAACACTTTGGAGAACTGTCTTTTCTCCTCCATCCACCCACAAAAAAAAATAATGTTATCTTCAAGAGTAGTCTTTTTTCTTACTTGTAGTGCGGACACAGTTGAATACCAAAAACCATCCTATCATCATTTTCATAATACACTTTTGAGAATACCAAGCCTGATTCACTTCTGCAGTGCCCTTTCAATTTTATGCCCCTGCAAATGCTGTGATGTAGAAGGATTTACATTTCACTAAAACAAATAAACATATTTGTGAGTGATTTTAGAAAAACAGTCATAGCTAAATGGAAAACAGTAACTGCAATATTGCAGTAACTGCAATATTGGCATGTCAGATGATCCCTCTGCAGCACACCTTAGATGAGAGTCAAGTGCTTACTTTATGATTAGGGTTATTTTGCTGATCCTCTTAGTTCTAGGGGCAACTCCCTTCTAATGAAATAGATGTTAAACAGAAGTCACAGCTTTTTTTTTTTTTAATTAAAAGAAGTATCCTTGAGGTTGTTCTCTCAAGAAATAATAATTTTTTAAATTAAAAATGAGTCAATTCTGGTTTTATGCTGCAGTGCACACAAGTTGAAACGCCCAAGTGAGTTAGATGCATTATTAACAGTGCCATTTAATTAGGAATTTTCAATAACAGCAATCATGGGATAACTTAATTATTGTTATTAAAATGATTATTATATTCAGACACAATCCCTATAGAAACATGCAGCGTTTCATGGAACATGGCTCTTCCCTAGATGATTCTGTTTTTCTGATAGGCCACACTTCAAGTATGATTAATCTCATTTTATGGGTCAAGTCAACTGACAGACAGCAAGAGGAAAGAAAATCTGGGCATACCAGTGGGAGGTGGCTCAGCAACTCATCTACAGACTCATAGTTTTCTGAAAAGGAAGGCTCAAGAAGTTCTGCTTCATCTCGAAGTTTAGCAGGATTTAGCTCTTCCTGGCTGTCGTAGGTCAGAAACAAGTTTTATTGCCTTCAGAAGAACAAGTAAACAAGCAAGCAAAGCCGCCTTCTAACTGTAGCTACTGCACATTTTGTTACACTTAGACCAAAGTGTTGTCTAAATGAGTGAATACACAAACAGAAAACAAGCTCTACAAAAACATACGCTGGCACTTCTCACCTGTTACGTCTTTCTGGGACTTCTAAATTTTCATTTTACGTGCTTACTTAAAGGTAAATTTTCATCAAATACTGCATTTTCTTTATAAAACTGTTGTTCATGTTCCATAGCTCTGTAGATTTTTCTCTAAGGGGCTTTTTTAATAAATAAAACTAGTTTAAGACTCTGTGAGAAGCTTTTTAAAATTGCCAGATGCTGTCTCCTCTTTATTCTTTTATTCTAATCTGATTGTAGTGTCTGTTCCAGTCTGGAAGAAAACACTGCCTGTATTTGAAAACCATGTTATAAACTACATTATAAAGTCATTAATGTCCACTGCCTTTTGTTTGTCCTCTCTGTATACACACATGGATATAAATCTTTTCTGTCTTAGTACTATACAAGTATGGAATCAACATATATTTGCTTTCCTCTAGTACCTTCTTTTTCCAGTTAAAACTGAGTTTAAGTATTTCTTCACAGCCATTTGCTTTCGAAAGCGGCTGTAGTTGTCAGTGAAGACAGCATCAGAGTGGCGTTTGACAGGACTGTCCTGGGAGCTGGCAACACAACAATTGCGAAGAAAAAATTAATAGATGATATCAGTTTAAAAGAAGATACCATTAAATGAGAGAAACAAACTTTACAATGTTGATTAGCTAAACAAAATCAAATTTTCATTTTGGCTTTCATTTCCAGCTACAGCTTTTCTTCTGTTGAAAAGAAGTCATTGCTTCCTTTGTATTCTACATATTTTAATAATAAGGATCAAATTCTAAGGATCGGTGTTCGGTCTTTTTGAGCACACCTTCCACTGGTTTCTTTTTCCTGCTCAACTTCGCCACGGCCCTTACAGTTAGGATCCACTCTCAATGACTCAATGTCCCAGTACCAGGAATTCTGCAGGATCAAATGGCTGAGAGTGGATTTCACGACTCCCTCCTGTCTGTTCTCATAGCATAGGTTACTCTTTTTCATAAACTGACTTTATTCTGATTTCTCTCATCTGCATAAAGGCATTTTAGTACAATGCCTAGGTGTAGACTGGTTGAGGGACCTGGTCACTCTGCACATCGAACTCAGCCAGGACGGAGTCTGCCTCAGAGGAAAGTAAGTGTAGCATCACATATATAGCTACAAATGCTTGTTTTAAGGAGGTACCAGGAGACAAAACACACCTTGTGAAATCGAGACCTGGAGGCCTATTTTTCGTTCACAATCCTGGGAAGCCTCAGTGTGTTCTGCTTTAAATGATCTATGCTAGTTTATAGTGTATGAAAATCTGGTACTATATGTTCTGGAACAAAGGCAGCATTGACATAAATGCAGGACCTAATTTTCACTCAGCTTTCGAGCATTCGTAGGAACTGTCATACTGGGTCAGACCAAAGTATTCTATGATCCTGTTCCCAAGAGTGCCCAGTAGTTGATGCTTAGGGATATGAAAACAAGCAAAGTACACAGTGATCCTTGCCAGCACCCTGCGACTGTTAGTTTATGAATGTCCTGGTCTGGAACTTGCATCCAGATCTCTTGCCTATGGATTTGCCTCCTTCTTTCTTGACTCTTTCTGTAATGCAGATCTCCCAAACATGTTGCTCTGGCAATATGTTCTATCTTAGGAAAAAAAGAATTTCTTTCTGCTTGCACTGGAAACTAATCGTTTCTTCATTTCATTGAGCATCCCCTTGTTGTTATGTAAGCACTGAGTAATCAATCAGTTCGTATTCACTTTTGCCATTCATCCGCCAAGCCAGCAAAAACACTCTCAGATAAAAAGATTAGCAAATTGGCGTGATAAACATTATAATATTGCCAGTATCTATTATCAGTGCTATGTGCAGTGTCGGTTGCTCTGCCCCTCACAGCTGTATCCAGAATAAATAGTAACGTATTTATTTAGTAACAAATACCAGTAAGTTGTTATATAGGATTTTTGGCTCCCCCACTATTATATCAGTTTCTTTTTCATTATCTCTAAATTGCAAAAATGAGAACTTAGGTACAGAAGAGTAAAAAACTGCCAATGAAGCCAGCTAGGAAAAAATTCTACCTAATGTAAGTGTCACCTCACCTAACTCGTTTTCTAATAAGCGAATGCAGATATCTCTTCACAGCAAGTTTAGCCAAAAGATGGCTGTAGACGCTGGTGAAAATTCCATCAGCATGCCTTGCATTTCTGAAATGGACAATAAATAAACTCTACAATACAACCTGGGTTCATATCATTTTGATAACGTTCATTTTGTAAACATATTGCTTTCCTTAAGTTACGTATTGCACACATTAAATTAAGCTAATTTCATAAAACAACTTCCAGATTTCCACAAAATACTTTTTAGCCCTTCCTGAGAAGTGAATGAACTCATCGTGCCAGGACGGCAATGCAATCAACATTTCTTCACACATTCCACGGGTTTTTTTTCTGTAATTGATTCTTCCTTTCCTATTTCTCAGTTTGAAAATGTGACAGATCTTTCGGCATAATTCAAGTAGTGGATCGTCATTTGGGTTTATGATAATGAAGAAACTCACCTATCGATAATTCTGGACAGATCAAAATAGAATTTCTCATTTTCAGGTAGCGTGTTCTGCAAAATATCTGATTCAGACTTTAATGACCCGTGGGCACGGTCAGGTTCACTGGCTCCATCAAATGGCATTCTGTTTCCCAATCTGTTGGAGAAGGAAACCGTGAGAAGTACAGCTAGCTGAGGACACGCAACACTTTGCTGCAGCTTACATTCTCATTTGTGTCAAAATACACATCCACTTACTTTAATCTGCAAGGCATTTTAAAGTAGTCTGGATAAAACAAAAATTGCTTTCGGGCATAATCTATGCTCAGTGATAGAGTAGTCGACATAGCAGATCCTTCTCTCTAATGCTTATTTTCTAGATATAAGTTGTCACTGCACACAATTTATTCCAGCAAACAGCGCATAATGTATGGGAATTGCAGCTCAAGTGACAACCTTGAAGCTTTTCATAACAACTACATTTTACACAAACGATGGATGGAATTACCAGTCTCCACCCATGCAAAGTGAAAACAGTTCCTGTGAAGTACTTACCTTCCAATTAAGATTTTAAATGTGCGTTGAAACGCAGGATGAAACAGTTCTTAGGCCTTCTCTAAAGAAAGTAAATACACCCTCAAGAACTCCAAACTAAATATGAAGTGCAGTCATGTATCTCTACGTGACTTTGTTCTCTCATGCTTGAATTCATTTGCTGGTTGAGAGTTAAAACAGGTTCGCATTTAATCTTTAAAATGTATCACGGCAATTGCTCTGTACAAACCGATTTACAGTTACTTCACATTTTTGTAAACCCCTGTTTCTTACGATGTTCACGTTTTATCACGGGCCATCCGACTGCATAGCAGTCATTTGCCATCAGGCTTTCCCCCCAGCTGCTCTCGCGTTCTGCAGCAGGCAGCAGGCTCCCATCGCTACAGCAAACCCCTGCGTGTGGCGATGTGCAAAAACCACACACTGACACCGGGACAGGCTCTTGTCCGTGCGATTTTACGGACGTCGTAGCTATGAATGGTACTTAGATATCCGAGGCACGAAAGACTTCTGTCTGGTAAAAAGTAAAGCTGCTGTGTAAAACAACCCAACCCGAGTCACGCCTGTTGAGAATCGGTCACTGCGCCGCTTTGCGACGCCGTTTTCCTTCGGTCTTTCTGCGCTCCACGTCCCTCTTACCTGAGTGCAAAAGGCACCTTCCCGCCACCCGGCAGGATTTAGTCAGACAACTAACAACCACCTCGACAACTCGGAGCACGCCGCGGTACGGAAGCCAGGCGCCAGCCCACGCGGGCCGCTCGCCCTCATTCACCGGGTAGGAATATTTCGGTTTCTCCCGCCCGTCTGCCCGCTGTTTAAAACCTGGGCCCACGCAGCTGCGCTCCCGAGCTGAAGGAGTTTTCTCACAAGGAAAGCC